CTTTCATTTGCATTCTTCCCGGAGACCAGTAAATAATTCGCATTGAGGAAAGAAAGTTCGGATGGTATTACGGATTTACCATGGCTTTATGATTCTTAGAAAGCAATATTCAAAATGATTTTTGTTTATGGGAGGATAAGGGGTGGAAGGACAAAAGGACAAGAACCATTGGCCTGAGGGATTAAAATTGGCGCAGGTACGTGTCACCAACTAGATTGTCATTCCTAAAAACATTTCTAGAAATTCACAACACCCATGAATTTATTCATTAATTTATCCAACTAAAAACAACTCCTTTAAAATCCACATATTGTTACTAACAGTAAAATTAAAAAATCGGCAATCTTAATTTATGATTAATTATTATTCCTCATAATTTTCAAGTGAAATTTTACGGATTTTTCAACATTTTTCATTTTTAAATCTGAATTTAATTCGTTGTTAACAAATTAAAAATTATTAATCATTTCTCCGAGTGATATCAATAATTAATGTTAATTGTTTATGAAAAATTGATATTCGGGATTGTTTAATAATAGAATTGTTAGGCTTTAATTATTAAGAATTTAAGACATGACTTGTTGATAATTAGATCCTCGGTGGATATTCCAGGAATTTTTCCATGCTAAATTGTTTCAAACATTTAATATTGCAGATTTTTTAATAACTATTCGCCGCAGGCTGTCTTGATAATAGACCAATCGACGAGCATAAAATTCCACCGGTTTCATAAGAATCCATGAGATTCACCCCGGAAGGAAGAAGATACTCGGAATTCTTATTTGAACTCGGACGATTCGAGTTTCACTGACAATTGCAAAAGTTTTTCAATCTGCGACCGAAAATTCTATGAAAATTGTCACCAAAGAAAAATGCTTATTGAAATTACAAAAATTTCTGGACATTTTTTCATGGAACATTTCACGATTTCGGGGATAAATTGAATGAAACGATTAATTTTTAATTTTTTGTGAAAGGAAATAGAAAATGAGAAAATGAGAAAATGAGAAAATTTTCGACAACATATTTTTTTAATTATTTTCTTTTATGTAAATTGAGAAATTGCGGGCGACTTCAAAATTTCCGATAAATTTGACGGAAATTCGAGTTTTCCAGAAGAAAATTCGAATTTTTATTGCGATTTATGGA